TTTATTTATTTAATTTATTTATCGGTTGAAAAAAAAAATATTTTCAACATTCACTCGGCTTGGGCGAGAACTTACACATGTCGTGCTCTTACAATAATTAGTATTATCACATATATTGTTTCGTATTTTTCACACAAAAACAATCATAAAATTTTCCGAAATTTCTCGTTTTAAAGCTCGTATGTTATGTATAAAAAAAAAAAAAAACGTATATTTTTCGATTTTTAGTGCTCTAAAACTAAATAAAACGAAATTTATGTGACATTTGCTGTAATCAAGATGATAAAATTATTACATACTTTTAAATCCAAGTAGTATACAAGAACGAGAATCCATATGGGAAACAGCCGAGTATTCAAATATAGAGCAATTTGGAGTGGCAGATTTGACTTTATTCTATTTCCTGTAACAGCAAGTCAAAATTTTTATTTAAATATTTTATAAGGAATTAATTTCTAAGGACATTCTCTGGACGAATTATAGAGAATTAATGTTTCCTTAATCCCTTTGCGAACCATGATTTTGAAAAATGCTCAAATTATATTAAAAATGTTTGTGTTGGTACTAAAATAATAAAAAGTTTTTTAATATTAATTTGTTGCAAAAAACATACCTTATCGTCACTTATTGATTATAATTGCATGACGTTTAATGTATTAAATTAATCAAGCTACGCAATAATCGATGAAAATTGACGCTAACATTTTATTTTAACATTTTTATACCCAATATTGTTTTGCCATACGCATGTAGAGTAAAAAGTACTTGCCAATATCGTAAAACTCCTTTTTTCTATCATGGCACGCTAAACCGGGAAAAATGCGATCAGAAGCTGTGACAACCGAGTTTTTCCACGTTTCCATGTTTTTCAACAATTCACTACGTACTCGGATTAAAATAATCGTGCAGATACATTTATCAAAATCAACGAGCGCTTATTACGCTATGTTTACATTTTACCGCTGCTAGGCAACGATATACTTACGCTCTTCGAATATAACACTGAAACAGGCATGTGTACCTCCATTAGGAGTAACATCTAGTATATGAATAAAAGTTACGTATCCAGTTTGAAATGACAGAATTGTTATTTTGAATTTTAAAGGTTTGATATTGTAATTTTTGATCGTTATTAATTTCTGTATGAAAAAGAAAGGTTTTTTTCACAATTAGCAATCGAGACTTTTATTTTAAAAAATTGTGGTATTATTTACAAAAAATTAAAAAATACATACATGACAATGCTTGGACTGTTTGAAAATTTTTCATTCAAGCAGTAATTGTCATAGAAATTTATTCCACGAAAGAAACCAAATTTTTGGAGTAATATTAACTATCATCAAGCTTTGATAGAATTTTATTAACTATAAAATCTTTTTTCTGATTTTCTTGCAGACCATTCCAATCTAATTTATTTACAGTAACCACTTTATAGTTCATAGCTTCTAATGTGTCCACTGCTACTGTATATATACCCATTAACTTTTTCGTATTTCTCCAGTACCAGTAATAAGGCAAGTGTAATAAACAAATTCTAAAAAAATTAAAATTATTTATGAATTTCGTCAAGTAAATTTTAAACTCAAAAGTTATGTGATTATTTACGTTTTGTATTCTGGGGGAATATTTAGATCTTCTATATACTCCAGATCGTTGGGTTCTTTTTTACTTGTATTTATCGAAACTGGTTTTCCATTCTCGTCAAAAACCAAAAAATAATCTGAAATAATAAAAAATAAAATATTAGCCTTACATGCCACATGAAAAATTACAAGATTAATTTAAATTTACCTATTAAGTGATTAAGTTTCGTCGCAACGTTCATCTTTATGTACTTTTCATCTCCAAGCCATTCTTTTAAGGGATCTAACAATAAGAACTTATAATTCTCATTTCTTGCACTTTTTTTATGTACAAAAGCTTTTAAGGATTCCATTTGTGATTTTGTAGGCATTGGCCCAACGTACTCTTTATCTAACTGCACTACCTGAACTAATTTACAGAATGTCCAATGCATGAATTTATCTTGGGAGTAATCGAATTTGCCATCAAAAACTTTTTCCAATAAGAAGTATGGATAAGAACCCAGAATACACAAATTTAGTGCCAAAATACAAAGAGTTTGGTGATCGTAACTTAGCAATGTTTGTCGATTTTGACAGACAAAGTTTTCAATTTGATCCCAAAAGATCGTTTTATACTTTGATAAGGCCAATCCGTGTATCAAAACTAACAATTTTCCTGCCTCATCCGAAATATTGTGCTCTGATATAACTATTTTTTCATAATACGATGCACTGCAGTAATTGAGCAGTTCTTTACTTTGATATCTAATAGAGTTTAAGCTCTTGAGCACACTTAATGCTTTCTCAAAACCCACGTCATCCTCCACGACTTTTTTCAACAAGTTATCATAAAACTTTTCATTGTAACGTAGGTTTTTCCTATTAATTTGGAATTCAATAGAATTTACTTTGGTTGAATCAAGTGTACAATATTTAGGACAAGAATAAATTTTTACTTACACGTATCTTTTATCTTGTTTTATTCGTTCGGAGACAATGTAAATTGCATAAATAACTTCATCAGCTGAAAGGAATTTGCTGTTTTCAGTAAGTATATCAAGTACTCTGTGATACACATCGAACCATGCCTGTTGAAGAGTACGGGGCGCATAGTAGTGTTCGCACAGTGCTTCTAATATTAATATAGCATATTTAAGAGGTATTTCACCCTTGTACATTTGCAATTTTTCAACGACAATGCGTTCCAAGTCGTGGTTTTTCATATTAAAAGCTGTAAAAGACAGTCCATGAGCAAGATGGCTTATGTCATTTTCATCAAATTCCATTGACATTTTTATGATAAATTTGTGCTTCAGGTTATCCATGAGTGAGTTTGCTTTGATAGGTTTTAATATATTTTTTAATAATGAGGCCAGAGCACTAATCTCTGTCAAAGACAAGTAATGCAATTTTTTTTCAATATGCTTAGCAAGTAATTCCACAATTTCCAAATTGTTTGGTATATCCATTCTTTTTAAAATTTCTAAAATCTGTAGGATTTCAGATACAGTCAAATTGCTTGCTTTTGAATGTATGACTGAGGACAACTGTTTAAAAAATTCTTGATCTGTGAGGTCTGTAATTTTTGCAGAAGCCTTTTTATTCAAGTACAATTTCATGAATTTCTTAAGAGCCATAACAATGTGAGATCCATCAACAATGTCTTCGTTGTTTTCCAAGCTAAACAAAATTTTTGATGGAAACACAGTATCCAAATCTGCCATCAGTCTGTCGCTTCGATTTTCAACCGGCACTGTTTGAGCTTCTTCCATGACTATTTGCCAATAACAGTTAACCAAAGAAATATTTATAATCAGCAAGTACAATGGAAATGAAGAGAATATTTACCTTTCATTCTTCTCACGTGTGTTATGTGATGCAAAGAAAGTCGCTGTGTAAAAGCAGTTGTATTTTTTAATGCTAGACATGGTCTTAGAATGTTTCTAAGTAACATCATCAACAAATTGATTTGATTTAAAATATATTTTCACAACAAAAACAAATTCATCATTTGGTAAAAGAAATCATACTAAGATTTATGTCAGTTTTAAAATAATACTTTTTTTTCTTTCTTTTAAAATATATTACTTCATTAATTATAACATATAAACCTATTATAACACTAAAAGGTTACGGCATTACAAAAAAAATTTCGGCACCAGCAGCAGACGACCTGCAAATGCGCGCGCTCTTGAAAGCTTCCAAACTGATGAACCAATCAGGAGGCTTAGAACGAGTCGCTTCCATATTGGATTTTGCACCAATGAACACAAAGAGCGCGATATTTAATTGTGACATTCGATAACACGCTTAATAACTTTAACAATCGGTATTCAGCAATGGTGGTGGAAATTGATGAGTAATTTATTTGTTGGATTCAATTAAATCGTCGGATAACTTTTTTCGGGAACAACATCAGCCATTTTTTTAAGCGGAAAATTATGAAATGTAATACGGGTCGTCCCATCAAGGCAAAGTATCCAGTTAAAAAAAAAAAAAAAAAAAAAAAAAAAAGATTTACTTAATTGAATTAATGTGTTTTGTATTAAAATTGGTTGTAATCAGTATATAATTTTATAAAACAGTTAATTATCTGGAATTTTAAAAAGAAGGAAGTGAGATGCCCTCCAAAGTGACTACAAGCTCTCAAAAACTCTTTTTTCATCGCTGCATGGCAAGCACTGCAAGCTTAGCAGTCTTAGCACACATAAGTAGTCGACACGTCACAGTGACTGTCGTCAACAGGAACAGTGTCAGTAGCTCTGCTGTCAGTGTTAGAGTATAAATATCAATGATACTACAAGAATCGAGGTTAATTCAATAAGTGATAAAAATTTTCAGACACCAATACTTAGTCATCAAAGAAACTTATTTGATGCAACAATTACTCTCCCTTGTATCTGTAAAAAAAATATTTTTATTTCACTTCTACACAAAACTAAAGAAACTAACTGTTTCATTTTATAATTAATTGAATTTTTATTTTTCATGAGGCCAAAAAAATTCTTGTAGCATTTTTTAAATTAGATAATTTTACCATCGATCTTAATTATTTTCAGAGAAGTCTACACAAGCTCATAATCTAAATAGTGATACTGCATTTGTGCTTTGATACTTAATTAATTGTCAATTATAATTATATTCTACTGTGAAAAAATGTCGTCATCAGCTAAGGTAAGCAACATAAAAAGCAATTTTAAAGCAAAAAGTAAAATCATTAACTTTAGAGATACATCATCACTTATACTTTGTTTATCCATTAAGTTTAATTCAAAGACTATTCCATCTATTGTTCATCCAAGACTACACTTGGCATTTAAATTTTCAGGCGCAAATCGACAAAGTTGTAAACCTTTACAAAAAAGTATTCTTAATTCCAAGCCTGGCATCTGCTAGAATATCACCTGCCAATGATAATACAATTAGAGTGTCATGCGCTCTTTCGCAACCTGTGCTGGAGACCAACTCCAAAGTTAAACTAGCTTTGGAATTTGCTTTCAACTCGGAGTTGCAGCGAATTTTCGAATCCAGTGTCCTTAATGTATCCGGGTAAGCTGTATTCTGCATTGGATGCTGAAAAAAAAATTTTTTTCTCAGAAATTGACATCGATTTTGAGTAACTTTTTCCATCCACAGTCTCTTGACGGCTCATTCCGAAGATGGAAAATTGAAAGCGGTATTGGAAGACGTGCCAAAGGATGGCAAGTCTAGGCAATTTATAAAGATCCTGAGTGGGCCAAGGATCTTGAAAACCTACGATCTTTCAGCTCACGATGTTCACGGGGATGTTTACACTGATGGTAAGGGTTTTAATATGCTCATTCTGTCATTGTTTAAGTACAACAATAATGGATGGTTTTATTGCAATAGCGACATTTGGTGCCTTTCACTTTTCGCCGGACAACAAAAAGTTGTTGTACGTCGCTGAAAAGAAGCTGCCGAAATGCGAGTCCTTCTACAAGCAAAAGCCCAAGCCAAAGAAGCCTAAAAGCAAAGATGAAGAAGAAGAGTCAAGCAGGGTAATATACTACATTTCGCATATTAATTTTTTGTTTTCATTATTTAAATTTGGCGATGTTACTGAACGAATTTTTTTATACTCAATTACGGTATCTTTAATTCAGGGTACAGAGTACGTTTACAAGCCAGATTGGGGCGAGCAGTTGGTTGGCAAGCATCTGTCGGTCGTTGTGATCTTGAATACTGAAGATGACTCCATAACTCCGTTAACTACCATTCCTGATGACTGTTTCCCCAGTCAAGTGCTCTGGGCTCCAAATGGCGAGGACATCTTTGGTGTCGCTTACACTCTTAACAAAATACGTCTCGGACTGTACGCTTGTACCAACCGAGAGGCATGCATTTTTCATTTGAAGGGATCGGAATTCAGTGAGTGCACTACTCTAGCTTACTATCCACGTTGATTTTAATTTTTATCCAACTTTTTTTAATGATGTAGACAGAATAACTGCCAAGGGTCTCTACTGTACTTCGCCAAGAATGAGTCCTGATAAGAAAAACCTCATATGGCTTGAGCGCGAAGTCGGTCCTGCTCACAATAACGTTAAAAGACTGATGTGTTTGAAACTGAATGGTGCTAACGAGGTAAGACATTTCTTTTTCAAATATGTTTATGTATTATTTTTATTATTCTGCAAACTTCAAAACCAACTTCTTTGCAGCCTGATGTGCTGGTCGATTTGGTGAAAACAAACGTTATCATTGCTAACAACAAAAAATTCTACGGCCTCTACAATGGAGCTTTGCCCAAGCGTTGCTGGAGCGATGACTCTAAGTATATTTTTCTTAGCACACCTCAAAGATCTACTGTCAAGTCCTATATTGTCAATTTAGGTAAGTCGATTTAATTTTTCCATTTGTTTCTTCAATGATATCTGACGGATCATTTTTATTTCAGAAACCAAAGGGATGACGGAAATTGAAAGCAGCGATGGTAGTAGCTTGATGATTGCTGATGTAAAACTAGGCGTCGTAGCTTTTCACAAGATGTCCCTTATTCAGCCGTCACAGCTGTTGATTGGAAAATTCGAATCTACTGGGCCAAGCATTGAAAAGTTTGTTCAAGTCCTAACTACAGATGAATCCTTTGGTGAAAATAATCTCACGTACGAACACAACGAATACGTCTACGACACCGACGAGCCCGTCAGTAAGTGTGACTACGTTTAGTGCTTTTTTAAGAGGCAAATATGTCCAAATCTAATAATCAGTTTCTTCATTACTTTTTTTTCAAAAGAGGAGTTCAACTTCACTTACTTTGGCAAAAAAGACGCGCCAGCCCAGTCCATGCCTCTCCTGGCTGTGGCACACGGTGGGCCCCACGGTTCCTACAGCAATTTGTTCCTTGAAAGTTACGCTCTATTCGCTCTTCTGGGTAATATTTCAATTCATCTGCTAATTTGACACTCGAATCGCTTAACTTACAGCGAGTCTCTAATGCATTTAAAAAGGCTTCGGTATCGTTCATATCAATTACCGCGGCTCAACGGGCATGGGTGGCGACAACGTCGAATACCTGCTCGGCAAAGTCGGCGAGGTCGATGTTCGCGATTGCATGACTGCCATCGACATGACCCTTCAGAAATACCCTTGGCTCGATCCAAAACGTGTCAGCGTATTCGGTGGATCTCACGGTGGTTTTCTGGGTGCTCAACTCACTGGCCAGTATCCTGTAAGATTACTCCAATAAATATTTTGTATGATAAATATTTCAATTCCAATAAATATATTTCATTTTATAGGATAGATTCAATGCAGCCGTTCTTTTAAACCCCGTGATCGATATAGTGGGAATGTACACCTCGACCGACATTCCCGACTGGTAATTATTTTGCGTTATCGTCATATAGTTAAAAATAAGTAATTTTACTTGTGTATATAAGTACCTATGTATGGTTCGTTTATCAATTTATTTTAGGTCTCGAGCTGAAAGTGGTTTACCATTTTTAGAAAAAATTCCTTACGATGCTTCTGATGATGATTACTACAAAATACTTGAGAAGATGATGAAGCATTCACCCATTGTTCACGTGAAAAAAGTTAAAGCGCCTACTTTACTTCAACTTGGATCAAAGGATTTGCGAGTGCCAATGTCGCAGGGCAAATTGTGGTATCACAATTTAATCACCAACAATGTTGTGGCCAAGTAAGTTGTGGTCATTCAAGGTCATCAATATACATACTTAATGATAATACAAATCGTACCATTAATCCACTATTTTGCGATTGTACCAAAATTATACAGTGCTATTAATATCACCCATTACTTTGTTCCTTCACAGACTTGCGGTGTATGAGGACAATCATTCATTGAGGAAAGACGAAGTTGCATTGGATTCTGTAATTAATTCTGCATTATGGTTACTGGAACACAATGGAATAACTTTAGAATAAAACATAAGGATCGATGCGCTAAAAACAAAAGTAAAGGAAAAAAAGTCTGATGCCATCTTTTGTATTCTTATATTTTTATATTGAAGATTGTATACAAAATACCAAAATATATTTTTATGAGACGAAAGAAGTGTCAATTATAAAATTGTGGTTTTTCTGTTTGATTCATAAGATTTTTATGTATTAAATACAAGTATCGAATATTCTTATGTAGTTTCTTTTGCGTAATTAATTTTACAAGAAAAAAAAATTTGTCTTCACTGTTAATCCCAGTGCTTAAAATTCTTAGGAATTAATACTAATTGTATAAAAAATATTTGTTCAACTTAATTTGTTCTTAATTTGTTGTTAATCTGTTCAACTTAATACTTAACACAATGGATATATTTTTGATAAAAGAATATGTATCCATTCTCAAAATTTTCATATTTAATACAAAATACTGTACATTGAATACATATTGATTATCAAAAAATGCACAATGGATGCATAAATATTTTTCCATTTCATGGAATACGCAAAAATTGACAAAAAATGTAAAAACATTGTCAAACAAGCTTTTTTTTACAAGAGTCTTGCAAGAATAATTGTCTGTACTATTCAATTATTTTCAGTATATACTATTAATTAGGCTATTTCTTATGTAATATAAGAAGTAGATAAAAAATTTTGGCTTTCATTTTTGGAAGACTGACTTTCACATTGCTTAGTAAGTAATAAGCAAATCTTGTTTAAACCGATAAAATAAAATTTTAACAAACGTATGATAATAAAACTTGAAAATAAAATGTAACACTTATAAAAAAAAAGTAGTGATTTAACTAAAGTTAAAGTATGTGATTAATGACAATTTCAACAATTGAATTTTTAAAATTCCTGAGACATACTTTGTCACTTTTGTTGTATGGTTAAAATTTTCAATGTCAATGTACATTAAATTAAGTATACTTCTCATGAAGTTGATAAGTTATTTCATATGGATATTAATTAGAAATAAATTATTATCTAATTAAAACATTAGATAACTCAGTGCAAAAGATTTAAACACAGTCACAGATCAAGTTAATAAAATCAGTTTATGCATCAGCAGCATTGGTATGGGGTGGAAACAGTGAGTCATAACTAGGTGGAAGATCCTTATCATTGGCAGAAGTTGAAACGGCCACTTCCAGCATTGGTGCTGTAGGTACATAAGGTGGACTTGTAGCACCCCGTTCTCCTTGTTCCATTCCGATACTAGACGCGTGTCTACTGGTGGCAGATGGTCCTGCACAATCTTGCGACCAGCAAAATATCGCGTTTTTCTTGCAAATCCAAAAGCACATCACAAATATAACAAAGCACAATAACATCGTTGTCACAGCACTAATAGTCACTTTTGTTCCAATCTCACTGCTTACTATCTTTCTTTCTATAGTGGTGCAATTAGACTCATCGTTGCATAAAAGGCTAGCACAATTCGTGTAGCCATCACAAAAGAACTTTTTGTTAATACAAATATGTGGGTTTTCAGGGTCCGACCAAACAGCTGTTTTATTTTCTACTTTACTGCAATCTACAAAAAGAAAAAATATTTTCTCTTTTAATTTGTTTTGAATTAATGTATGCATATTTTTTAACTTTACATACCCTGATAAGGAGTATATGTTATCACAATATCAAGGGACTCTCCAGTTTTCAACGGCTGCTTTGATACAAATATTTCAGTTGTAATTTTTCCACTTTTACTGAATTCTTCGACCGAATTTTTCTGTTCACGATCATCCAATCCAGATATATAGGACTTTACACCATTGTGTATTACTACTTTACCACAATACTTTGTTGGCTCAGAGTTATTTTCCTCTGATTGAAACTAAGAAATCATAAGATTATGAAATAAAATATTTAAAACCAATTGAAACTTTATTTTGAACTTTTAAAATGAAAAAAAAAAAAAAAAAACTTTATTAATTGTTGGTACACTAAAGATAAACCATAAAAATTAATTTTAAAAACATCTGAGATTGACTCAATAAGAAAAGGAAAATTCACAGGAAAGACTATAACACAGTTATGACGACTCAATTTTGTAGTGGTCTTGTAAAGTGATTCATAGATACTGTATATTTATAACACTTAAAAAAATTTTAAATAGTTTTCGTACCTGGTAGCGTATGTCACCAGGGCAAGCATCAGACTCGAGGAATTCATTGTGCTTGCCCTGGTTAGATGCGCACCAGGTGCGAACTCAATTTATTCTGCTGGGAGCGCAGTACACGCCCAAAGAAATAAAATATAAATTAACCATAAAAAAAATTCAAAATAATTCATTTTTGACAAGATTTAATATAAACTGCGAGTCTTGGGGTACAATTAAACGGGATCCCATAAAAATTAACCTTTACGAGATATTTCACAATCAATTGCAACCAAGAACTTCGTGTGGTGAAATTTCAAATACTTGTCAAAAACCATAAACCAAGTGATCATATCAAGTAAATAAATAAATAAATTTACAATTTGCAAAACCTACGGTAACATAATCCAAACAACCTGTCCCATTGCGTCTCAGCGACATCCTTTGCACAACAGCGAAAAGATTGTCTCCCTTTGGTCCCTTAATTTTAAACTTGCAGTGCTTATTGTACTTCATCTGCCAGCTATCAAACACATGTGAAGGTTTCACTATGAGTGCAGAATTCTTGACTTTCCTCAATTCCGTCACACCATCTGCCTTTGTTCTTAAAGGATGACAAATTTTCTCACTGTCCAGGCCATCTGCAAAAAATAGTGCATCAGGTGAAAATCGTTTCCAAACGAGATAAAATCACAAAACAATAGCGAAACTAACATTGAATATAATTTTTGGCCAAGTCATCGAATTCGTCGGGGCCAGCGTTACAATAATCCACGAGAACATGTAAAATAAGCATCAGTAGACAAGCGAAATTCGCTGCTGCCACGGCCATCTTGCTGTTGTAGTTGTTGATACACCCTGGAGCTCCAAAAACAACAACAAAGACCACGACCACAGCCAACAACTGTCATAAGTCATTAGGCCATTTACAGACAAGAGATCGAAAAACACACACACTGTTATTCCCAGCTTCTCGTGTAGAAAAACAAAACAAAAGAAAAAAACAACGGTGTTTTGTAACGAAAGTGTTGCTCATGTGTGTATATATTGCTGGATTTTTGCACAATATCAGTCCCCTCGCCTTCTTGAACTCACTATCTCGTTAGTAGGTACTGACCACAGTGACCACTGCCAAATGCTAATAGAACGAAACTATACGGCGCACCTCTTCATCTCCAATATACTTGGTGGTCCATCGACTCGTCATTTAGAGCAGCTTCTCACTCACTCTCCCTCGAATCTGCAACTTTTGCGACGAGTGGGCGTCGGCAATACACACCACACACGTAGGTATGAGGTATTCCGTAGATTTGGTATGCAGTAACAAATATCGCAGTCCGGTCCAGCGCCGCAAACACAATATACTACTTAATGAAAACAACGTCAATAACAACTGTTTTGTTTCCTGTATATCTATATATAGATTCTTGCAGAAGAGAAAGGAGAGTTGCTGCGCGCCTCTCCTCTGCATCAGATAAATACTACTTATGTGCGAATATTTCAATTGACTTGACATCTGACAGGACTGCAGGGCAAGACGCATCAAGAGAGAGAGAGAGAGAAAGGGGAAAAGGGGTGGCGCGCGGCGGCTGCTTTATGACAATGCGCGCTATGCCACATGCTGACCACCTGTATAGCGATCTGCTCCTTTGTTTACGTACCTAATATAAGTATATATTTATAGTTGGACGTCAAAAATACCATAAACTTAGATGCATCAGTGATTGGTAAATCGAGAGTTGTTGCCTACCATTGAAGAGATATGGAGCAAAGGTACTTCACATTTTTTCGCATTTTTTCGGAATAGGAAAATCTGAGTTTCCTTTTGTTTGGCCAATAAGGTTTCGTTGATGAAAATCGTTTTTTTGTTTTTTTTTTGTTTTTTGTTTTTCAATTCTCTGATAATATCATATATACCTATGGTATATATCGTCACATCATAAAATAAAAAAATGTATAATAAAAAAGAGATTGATGAGAGGATGATATCATCGCGCGTTTCGTGATGAAGCATTAAACTGTAAACTCGCTTCGCTCGCACGTACGATCGTAACGTGTTTAAAAACAACAAATCATCCGATTTCGCATGATGTATTGTACTTACTTCGTACTTCTCTGACTGCGATCGCTGCTACTTTACCACCTTTGTTTTTTTTTTTTTTTTTTTTTTTTTATTTATAAAAATGATCTATTATATTTCAATGTAAGTACGTGTATGAGCGTGATGTATTTAAAAAGAAAAAATAATCTTACCTTTTGGTAGGTGTATGTGTAAAATAATTCAGAGAACTGGCTTTTTAAATTTAAAACATTCTTCGTTTCTATAATCATTTTTATGAGTAAACAGTTAATTTTATCCGGTGTAATAAAAAACAGATGATGTACATTCGTCATTGGAAAAAAAAAAACCATGAAAAAGTAACTTTTTTTTGTAAATCATTGGAATTTGTTCATTATAAATCGTAGGATCAAAAAATTATAAATTTCCCAACTGAGATCGTAGTCTTCGAAATTTGTGTCGATTCATATACTTAGCTATACATTCGTTTAAAATAAGTTACAAAGCCGAAGATTGGGCAAAAGCCTTTTGATAAACCAACGTGAATGAGTACACGAAATGTGTTTGTACCAAAAAGTAATAATCTTAAAAATTAGTAACGCGATTTTTTTAACGATACGGTGTTCGTATAAAACCTAATAGAATCGTTGTGATGGATGTGCAGCGATTTTTTTCCTTCTAATCTTAAAGTTAAAAAAAATCCTGTTGAATTGCTCGTACGTGTAATTAAATATTCATTTTTACAACGAATACAATGTGTATACATAATTACAGAGCCATGAACTATCCACATGCCAAATACATTGAAGTCGACTTTGGCGAGGTGGAGGTGGGGGTGACAAACATCAAATCAATCAGAGTCGTTAATCGATGCAACGTGAGTTTTTTTCGTTCAAGATCAAGAATAAAAAACTCACTTCATTCTTCAACATTCATTTATACTTTGTGTTGAGTTTTTAATCTGTATATTTTTATTTTTATAGTTTTTTTTTTTTTTTTAACATAATTTTATTGTACATACATGCGTATCACCGTAAAAATGAATGCTTTGCTGCTATATGTGAATTTGAAAAATCAAAATCAAACCTACGGAATAAAATTGAATATAAACGAAATGAAGGTTCGCTCATTCGAATACGAGTGATAAATAATGAAAAAAAAGACATCTAAGTTTAAATTCATGAAAAATTGAGTATTCCCAAGCTCACATTTAATTATTTTACGCATAAACATATAACACAGGTGAGACAGTCATACTACGTTCAACGAGATTCAGCGAGCAACCCTTTGGACTGCGTTTTCCACATGTTCGAGTACAGCTGGTCTCTAGACTCGTGCGGCTCTTACGTGTGCGACATAAGCTACAGGCCCATTCTGCCAAACAGAAAATACGTCGATTACTTTTTCATCATAGACACGTATGGCTGCTGCAACGAGATTTTTGCTTTTGGAAGGTCCGCCGGTAAAGTGTATCCAAATATAAACTTTTCTTCCACTATACCGGAAGACCAAAAGAACATGATCCAACAAACACGCAGGTCCGGACGTCACCGTGTCCCCGAACAGGTTGATTCTGGTGTGCAACGACGAGTGCTGCGTCTCGCAGAAGAGCTTCAAATTGACAAATCGCTCGAGCTGCCCTGCAAAGTTTACGTTCGACATCGACGTGGCCCAGTGCCCTTTCCAAATCAGCAAGACCAGTGGAGTCGTAACGGCAGCCTCGAGCAAGTCTTTCAGCGTTTCTTTTCGGTCCACCAGCCTTGGGATCCACAAGTACCGTCTGACCTGTCTCGTACTGAATCAAGTGATGCGCCCAACCTTATACCAAAACGCGCGATCGGTTTGCCGCATATATTTATCGTCGTCGACAAAACTATTTCAGGCCCCGCTCGTTCTCGAGTTGTACGGCATCTGCGGCTGCGCCCTCGACAAAGAGTACATCAGTTGCATCACATCCAAGATCGAGGATGCCGAAGGACCCAAGTTCACGGACAGCTTCGCAGACTACATGAGCGACGTCACCACGGCCATCAAGACCGATCCTCCGGCGATTTCCTTGTCCGATGTTTTCTTGGATTTCGGCCACGCCAAAGTCGGCCCGGAGAGTTGTGGGAAAAGACCACCGCTGACCACTTCTCTCACCAACCACACCAACTTTGGCCTGCTCGTCCTGTGGGAGGAGGGTGAGTCGATTATTAAGGTGTCACGCGAAGCGTGCATACATACATATTTCAATATGCCCACCACAGACGTGTCCGGAGTGTTCCACGTGCATCCCCAGGAGGCAAAGATGCTGGCCAACCAGTCGATCGTCTTCGAGGTCCGGTTCGATCCGCTCGAGGTGCGCGCCTTGTACTCGAGGGAGCTGGTCGCCCGCGTCTTTCGACTGCCCTGCTGCCCGTCGCTCGTCAAATCGACGCACCACCACGATCTGCTTCTGAACGTCGTTCCCGACATCGTTGATATTCGGCTCATCGGTGCACACTACATTATCTTTAGTATCCTGTGAACAAAATGCATTCTTTGCGATATACAGAAATAAATGTTATATTTGTGCGCGGGTGAATTTCAAGGTCACACTTACGGTAGAAGCTCGAACGACTGGCTGCCGCAGTACGAGGTCCCAGAAACGGTGATAATGCCGGCTTGCGAGCCGGCCACGCCAGCTTACGCGACGTTTATTGTAAAGAACTTTGGAAAGCAGTCCCTCATGTTCCGCTTCGTTCCGCCGGCTACGTCTCATTACGCCATCAAGCCGATGATGGGGCTTGTCACCGCGTAAGATGTTGCAAATGCAAGGCTCAAACAGTAGGTACACTATATAATGATTTCCGAATGAAAGCGTCGTTTTTGCAACAGCGAACAGGAACACCGAGTGATAGCGGTGCAGCTGTTTGCTGAGTCGGAGGGTAACCACGCGCACGTCGAACGCTGGGCTTGTTGGCTCAACGGTAGCCCCTCTAACGAGATCCACATCGACCTTCACGGCTTTGCCGAACGTCCCGAGTTGATTTTCGGGCACGAGAACCGCGTCGTCTTCGATCCGGTCCACGTGAATTGCCGAGAAAGCCTTAAGGTACCGGTGCGTAACTCGACGCGACACACTGTCAGGTGAGCAGACTTTTTCTGTTATTTTCCGGCGTGTATAATGGAACTACGCCGACTGATCTATCTATCTCTCTCAGATTTGAGTTGTGCCGGTTGAGCTTGCCGGAGGAGTTGAGCGTAGAAAAAACGAGCGGAACGGTGGAACCGAACGAAACGGTCTTTTTCGACTGGCTTTTCCAGCCCGGTAGAGCTCAAGTTTATGATTTCGGCCTAACTTGTCGACTGGCTACAATTTCTGATGGTAAATCCCGCGAGTTGGAGATTTTGGTCTCAGCAACCAGCGCGGAAGGAACTCTCATGGTGACGACGTCGAGGATAAACGCACTTTGCGAATCGTTGTAACGTATAATATGTATCGCCCCAAACAGGCTGTACCCGAAGATTTGGATCTCGGCGTACTGGAGTACAACGAGTTGGGAGATGCGCAGTTTACGATATTCAACTTCAGTCCGGTCACGATCCATTTTCTCGTGGCTCTCCAGGGAACAGGGGATCCGGAGAACCAGCGGGACGTGAAAATTTCGCAGGTACGGGGCTCCGCGCGTCCGGGCAAGAGCGAGAAATTTAGGGTCTCGGTGACTCCTACGCGACCCGGCCGGCATGAATTGGTCGTCGAGTACTTTGCAAGACCCAGTGCGACGGACGATGATCCGATATGCCTGTCCCAGCCCAAGCATCTCTGCAAACTCTCCTACTCCTGCTACTTGTCTGTTTTCCAGGTTGTTTGGTATTTATATGTTATTTGTTGCTCTTGCGGTTGAATGTAAAACTTTTAACTGTTGATCTTCAGGTCAAAGACTTGCTGTACCAAGCGAATTCAAATAAGAATTTGAGTAAACTCTCATTGTGGAAATCTCTGAACATAGACAAGTGAGATTTCATATCCGTGCCAATACTTATCTATATTTTGTTCTATATGCAATAATCCTCAACTGTAAATGGAAATGTTTTCATCTCAGTTTGAATTGCGCGTTAAAAGACTTGCTGCCTCACCAGGAAGCTTTGATCGGCATGACTTTACCGTTCGATTCACTGTATGAGAACGAAAGGTTGGTTATCAAACTATTGGTAGTTAACACGAATCCCGTGAAGGCTTCGTGTTGTTTCAAGAAAAAAAAATTTTGTTCCTGCGTGAAAAACGCGTCGAAAAGCCGCAAAATTGAAAATAAGTGCACCGATTGCGTCCTGGATCCCTCCTGTGCCATTTCCCCTGAAAATATATGTTTGATGGCAAGCGCACATTTGTTTATTATTCTCAACGGAAACCATAAAAGACACGGAAATCTAACGATTTTCCCTTTATTTAGCCGAACGAAAGGTGCACATTATCGATCGAAGTAACAAGCAATCCCCTACAACTGACCGGATTGTTTTGGGATTTGAATATCGGACAAGAACGGCGGATTACTTTGAACATAAACTTTGAGCTCCCCGTAATTGCATCAGGCGATCGTTTGAAGTTCAAAAGTGTTTTTTTAGGTCAACGCACGAACGCCCAACACCAGGTATTCATATTTGTACTCTGTCACATATAAGACTTGAGAGATAGACAGAACTAAAACTACGTAACTGTGAACGAAACGAAATCGTAGGCCATTTGGTTGTACAACGGTGAGGAAAATGAAATTGCATATGCGGTCGAAACGAAAAGCCTCGCGGCCTTCAATAAAAAGAATTACGGCGTGATTTTCTCATGTTTGGATCCAGAAGGAACGATCGGCTCTTACGAGCGTAAAGCTGTCGTGTTCAGTTTTTGTCCCAACAAAATTGGGACATTTCAAGTTAGTTGACAGATGTCACAGTAATATACTTTTTAAATGCGTCCAAATGACTTACTTTTACACTGTTTAGGCAACAGTTTTGGTGACAGTCGATCAGAGAGAATCACTGCTTGGCATAGAAGCTCAATCTACCAGCATTAAAATGCCAATTGTTGCAAACTACGAAACGTGTCCGGCTTCTTACACCTTTTTGTCCGAGGATATCATCGTTTACTTCAACAAAGACTACATAATCACGCCGCCGTTGCCAACTTTTGGGAGGGTGACGCAAATTGTTATTGTCCACAATCACCATCAGCGCGATGTGTTGCATTATCAATGGCAAAAGTAATTGTTGCACTTTTTTCTCAACTACATATCATTAAATGTTATGTTGGGTATTACAAAAACTCTTGTCTATTTAAACCGATGGAAAATAACATTATTATTCGATGCTCCAGTTACGAAATACCAGGTGCACTGAAAGTCAAAGTGAATCCGATGAGTGGCTTGATCCAGCCACAGTCACGTTTAACGTTTCTCATCGAAGTAGTTGCTGGCAAGTACACGTGCTCGTTGGATATCGACGTGTTTTGTAATTTCACGAATGTCAGTGAAAGACGACTCGCGGAGAAGAGAAAGGCTCGACAAGATGATTTGTTGAGACAACTGAAAGATGAATTTACCATAACTGATAAGGGTATAAGTTATCCGGTATAATATGTTTCTTTTGAATTGTACGATGAATTACAATGTTTTATGTTGCTGAACTGAAAAAAAAAACATACTTTATTTTGATTGCAAAATATAAAAGAAAAAACCCGAATTTGAAGAAGTGAAAGAAACATCTACTTATTGCAAGGCTTTAACGATTAAAGTCGATGTTTACGATCCACGAGATACCGACAGCAAAGTTGAATTGAAGCAACATTTGAAAATTGTCACGCCAATTGGGGAAATTACACGAGATACGGTTCCATCCGAAGGTACTTTTTCAGAAATCGAAATCAACGATTGCTCTCAGATTTTGGAATGCACCATATGGTGATTATTTAATGGTTCTATACATTTAAAATAATTATAAAAACTCATTTGTAGAAAAAATATATACAGTTGATATTTTATTGTTTAACAGGGACATTATCAACTGCAACTCATTCGATAAAACATTGAAAAATGATCTGACAACAGTGCATAATCTCAAATATTCGCAGTTACCAACTGACATTGTGAAAAGAAAAATTCAAAATGGGAGGAGTGACTGTGTTCTGCCTAAACATTACATCGAAGATATATTGCACACTGTAAGGCATTTGTTGTAACCTCATAAAATATTTTGCATGGTTGATTTTTTTATTTTTTGTAGATTATATGTATGAGCGTTCATGAAGAATTTAATCTCAACACCAACCACTTTTCACATCCTACGGATGCCCGAGAGATATCATATCACAAAGTATATTCCGAGGCATCCAATGAAAAAGCTGAATAACTGTTTCTTTATCAAAAAGAGTTTTACTTTAGTACTGATAAACAGTTTAAATTATTGTTTAAAAATAAAAAATNATATATATATATTTGTATATATCCCTAGTGATTTACTGCTGGTGTAAATAACTAGAATCTAGGGACTTTTTCAAGACGGTTCCCCTAGAAAATAGTTTGCGTACGCCGCGAAATCCGCAACGCTAGATGGCGCTGATACACTACACATTGTTTAAAAATAAAAAATTATCGAAACATTAAATTGTATAAAAAATTAATTTAGCGGAAAAAGAACATTTTAACCAAAATTCACAAAAGTAACAATCAATTTATTAAAAAAATTATTTACATTAATTACCTATCACTCATTAAGTGAGGATCAGAAATTCGTCGAAATACTGCTAAGAATTTGTCACCCTTGTTTCGTGTGACTTTTTGACCCTCTTCTGTACTTTCATAAAGTTTTTCAATGATTGGATCTGAAATCTAAAAAGTACAGTAATAAGATAAAATACCAAACAAGGAGTTGCTATATTACATATATTATCTGAGAATTCACCAATTGCTCTTCTGAAACACGCTCAAATAAAGGATGTTCTGATAAATGTTGAACCATCCAATGGTGTAGATCTTTGACATCAGTCATTGTATAAACAATAGCCTAAAAAATTTTTGTTGTAATATTGTAGACTCTTCATTCAAGCAAATGTTATAAAACTTACATTTTCTGCTAAAACATAGGCATATTCTGCTAAAAGAGACTTATTGATTATACGCCACTTGTGTTTTGCTTTCTTAAAATGTGGATCCGGGTATAGAAAAAACATTTTCTTCAGCTGACCTTTGTGAAAATAATTTGGCAAATATTTCATAGCATTGGTTCGCAAACAGGCGATGTTTCCGTACTGTCCCGGATTTTGAGATCGTAAGGCTTCTATTCGATCTATAACGTAATCTGAAACTTTTACCCTAATCTCCATTCCGACAATTAAATTATCAGGAAACATTGATGACAATGTGACTAAAAAAAATTCTATTTTAAGGAGCTATTCAAATTTTGTGTGGAATTTATAACTCGGTAATTTACCTAGTAATCCACCATACCCACATCCAATATCTGCAAATTGAACAGGTTTCGTCAGCTTTTCGACACCATTCTCTATATTACAATTTTGGATATAGTTTGGATACAAGGGACTCCAATCCATAGCATCTGGTTTCACTGGACTGAATAATAGATACAATGTTAGTTAATCAAAACCTCAGTTTTAAATTAAGGAAAAAAGATAACAAAAGGTAAAAACTTGCTATTCAATACAATGGTCCGCTATTGGATTGGAATGAGCCCGCTGTCGATAGTATTTTTTCTGAGGCAAAGATTTTGTGGCACTAGCCATTGTAGCATAACTTTCAAATGCACTGTCTGTAAAGTAACTTACTTATAACATTTGAAAGCAATGTAAGCTAATTATTCTTATAACTGGAGTTTCAATATTAATCAAAGACGTAATTAATCTTTATACATATTCACTCAACAAACGACTAATATAAGTTTTATGGTATAATTAGCTTACTTGTTTTATAAATAATTTTTATAGATTTTTTAAATAATTTTAAGAAAAACATATACAATTCAAACTAACCTCTATCTCAGTTTTTGAAATTATCTATATAAATGCGATACAAGACATAAGTACCAAAATCACTTAATTTTTCTATGATAAATTGAGCTACTTACGACAAATTATTCAATTGAGAAAAATCAAGAAATTAAGCAGAGACATACACGTGTCATGTTCGCGCTCTGCTCTATATATACATCACTGTAAAACTCCAATCACAACACAAAAAAATCGAAGTCGTACGTATATGTTTTGGAGCAAGAATCAGCTGATATTTTTTCAATAAGCGACCAGCGCCATCTAGCGTTGCGGATTTCGCGGACTTACGCAAACCATTTTCTAGGGGAACCGTCTTGAAAAAGTCCCTAGATTCTAGGGGTTTTCAGCAGAAGTAAATCACTAGGCATATATAGTAATAGTAGGTCAAAAATCGCACGCACTGGAGACTGCTCTGAGAGGGTCTATATAATTGCGTGATATGCTTCGATAAATGCAATACGGTTCGAGATTGATGGTCACACTAAAATTTGACGAAAATCGGAAAATACATGATGGTTGTACACTTGGATTGTGTACTTATATCGAAAATCGTCGGCGGCCTTCGCTCTTGTATTTGTATACATCTCAGCCATCAATTACCTCGAGAATAGTCGCACGGTAGATGTTGCTAATTTAATATATTGGTTGTATAGGCGTGTAGATTCCAGATTTCAGTATTTTTTTATTTGTTTGCAATATTGAAGCACGCAATTATAAGTAGATTAATTATATTAGACCCCGCCAAAGCGGCCAAAGCTCGTCGGTCGAGTTGCATTTAGATCTAGCACCATCTAGCGTTGCAAACCCTGATATAGGCTGTACCGACGGTCGACACGAGATAAGAGAGAGACCTGCAGTTCGATCGAGTCAGCCAACCGTCGGTACATTAACAAAAATATCGGCCCTACTATACCGACAGTTGACTAACTCCGTCGCGACGACGAGGTCTGCGGAGTCTAGGGACTCTGGGGTCTAAATAATTGCGTTTTTCGATATACACGCAGTACAACCAACGCGAGGCACGCGCGAGGGACATGTGTTACATTTTCCGATTTTCATTAAATTTTAGTATGCATGTTACCATCAATCTCACACAGTATTGCGTAAGTATATCGAAGCACGCAATTAGACTCGAATTAGACCCTCAGGTCTGCGATATATATATATTTGTATATATCCCTAGTGATTTACTGCTGGTGTAAATAACTAGAATCTAGGGACTTTTTCAAGACGGTTCCCCTAGAAAATAGTTTGCGTACGCCGCGAAATCCGCAACGCTAGATGGCGCTGATACACTACACACGATGCAAATGATGCAATTGCAATACCTACCCCACACACACACCCCCGTTTACCAGAGAATATATCTTTTTTTTTTTTTACATATTATAGTGCTCTACGTCCGGCTCCTTTAGTAAAAGGGCACTATTATGGGCACTTAGCACTTTGGAGAAGAAAGGGATGAGGGATGGGACTGTGCAGCAACTCACGCGCAAGTGATACGTATTACGGAAGCCTTCATGGTTCACGTTCCGCAGTGGCGCTTGTTACGTATACACTTTAAGTAATTTGCTTCCACCACCCCAAGTATACTTGTAAATTACAACTATACGTCTCTTCAAATCTTACACGAACAGCAAAACGACTTATATATTTTTCTCTTTCCTTTGTTGTGACAGCAACAGAGAGGAAGAATATTAGAATATATATACAAAAAAGTGATAGTGTATGCACATTGCACGCGTGCATATTGGTCTAGGCGTGCGCATGCAGAGATTGCAGAGAGGGGGTGACTTCTTCTTTTAGTGCACTTCTGTCTGCTGCTCGTAGTAGCAGATAGGTATAGGTACAACACACTAATAGGTGTAAGACCTATTTGATTTGTGGAGCTTGAAGCGATTGATCATTTAAATTGTTCACTTTTATGCATCAATACCACATTTTGGCTTGTCCCTCAAATCAGATCGAAATTTGTTAAATAATTACTAGTTTCACAGCAATCCATGCATTCAACTGACTTACTTAGAGGAGCTTACTCGAGCTAGTGCGGAAAGTTTCACCAAAGTGGACTGTCCTCTAAAAGATATGACTTGGGGGTACGTTCTAATCCCTGCATATATGATTTTCATGTGAGGCTTGTACTTTATTAGTGGTAATATCTACTAAGTAGTGATGTGTTCAGTGTATATACTTAGTGTATAATGCTTGTGGTTCCTCTGGTGCGAATTGATTGCAGGAAAAATAGTAAAAGAAGCTCACGAATAGAATCACAAGAAAAAAAACCACTCCATAGTATTAGGTTATGCCTAGAAGTAGCTGCTACACGTTTGCCTGCACCCTGACGACGTCGACGAGAACGAGCAGCTACAGCAGTTAGGTGAGGCTTACGAAGATCCCACCACACTATACACTCTTTCATTCATTTATCTATGTTATTTTTATAAGTGTACATATACATATACATATAATACATTTATTTATACTCCTCCTGCCCCACTTGGTCTTGACCTTTCAAACTTTTTCTTTCATTCTTTTATGGTTTTTTTTTTATTTGTATTTTTTTTTATTGAGAACGATAACACATTCGTTCCCTCCTCTTTGTTCGCTGATTTTGTTGTTGGTGATTTTTGTGCGAATTGCACTGCTCCGATTCGCGCGCGCACTGTTAAACACTAACGAAATTGATTTTTGTTTTTATTTTCACCGCAAAAAATAAGTGTTGTTGTACGCTTTTTTGCCAGATAAATTTGTGGAGTCGTGTTTTTTTTTTCTCGTAATCTCAGCCAGTCTGATTGTTACATTTTTAATTTTTTTTCTAAGTGTATTTTTTAAACTCATTTTGTCCTTGTTTTAAACGCTGTGTATTTGGTTTTTTATTCGTGTTTTCATTTTTATGCATACAGTCTATGTGGAGTACAAGTAACTTTTATTGATTTTTTGTTATTTAATGGATGAGGTCATTTTAAGTATCAGGATAAAATTTTTGTTTTCCTGTTTACGTTAGATTTTTACAAAATAATTTTATTAAGAGCAATGTTTTTAAAACTGTAATTGTGAATTAAATATGGACATGTCATTCTGGAAAAAAATACCTTATCAATTTTTAATGTATCTGTGCTTCCATCGTTAATAGAATTTTTTGTGGATCATAAATTTTTTTCCTCATTTATTATTTATTTTTATTTTATTTTCACAAAATAATGTATTTAAAAGGTAATTAATACGTTTTAGTGCGTATATGATTATTTTTATTTAACGTCAATAAGTAACGTCAATAATATTTCAGATTATTTTCTACTATTTTATACTTGTTGCGAGATATATGCGTGTACACGACTTACATTATGTTAGCATAATACAAACTTGATTAAAATTGGCACGTAATAATTATCGTGTAGACATTTTGCAACATTTACATTTTAAGACTTGAACCTCGAAGATTCTTCTGTGTCTAGAAAGTATTTTTAGTAATACCTATAGAATAAAAAAAAAAGATTAAAATCCACACAAGAATACTGTTTTCAAATAACGATAGCGTTTAACTCCCCCGTATAATCATCATTAATTGTTTGTTTAAAATTTTTGTAATCCATCCAAATGAAAAAGTTAATTAATTATCAAATGCTTAATCTCAATACTTAATTGGATGAAAAAAAAGTATATTATCTTATTAATTTATATACTCACACGTCATACAACCTACTTTTATGATACCTCTTGTGTACATTCAATTATTTGAATACAATTTTTAAAATAATTAAATAATAGACACACTTTTTTACTTTTCTTGTTTTTTTTTCTTTTTTTTTTTTACTCAATTTTTTTCCTACGTATTTCAAATAATACTAGCCAGTATTTCATCCAGATCGTCCTTTGGAAAAAGATTAGCAACCTCACCAACAGTAAGAATATATTGCATTCATAAATTAACCCTTTAACGTGGCAATACTTTGCAATTACCTTTCCTAAGTGACTGTTTCAAATAGTATTTGTTTAGTTTTCCATCAAAAATGTATTATATAATACTTAACACTTTTTATGATTCCTTTTGCATGGTTACGTTTTTAGCATTTTCTATTATATTTTGAAGTACTTCTGAGCGCCCGGAAATGAGTCAGTTATAAGCTTTGCCAGAAATTAAATTACAGAATGATTCTAATTTAAACAATATACAATCATTTAGTTGAATTACGAAAAGCTTGTTATTTTTAGTACTATAATCGAATTTCTTATTTTCTCCATTCTGCTCTTCTCGTAATATTTTGATAGTAATGTTTCTTACGTTGAATTTAATTTAATTTAATTACAGTATTTTTGTAATCAAGAAATTACTTTATACACTTCAATACGTATAATTATCTGTGGTCTTATTTTTTTTAAAGTTGATATTATTTTTGTCTGAAATATTTCTTTACTAGTGTCAGGTAATTTTTTTAATGTTATGTATTCCAATTTTTATTATATAACTTTGTTTAGCTTAATTGATTAAACTGCAGCTAATAAATCTGTTAATTTTTGTATCGACGAATCTAATTATTCTAAGAAATCTAACTATAGGCCATTGATCATCGGTGTAGCTTATACGATTCAGATGATAGCATCAAAAAATATTTTGAGATTTTTCAGTTAAAATATGAATTTAGTCAAGTTTAATAATTCTCATTAAGGTCCATTATTACAAAGAAATCACCAGATACATTATCAAGTTTACCTCGTTTTTAACTGATAATATGCTTTTCAATGGTATAAGTTTTTCGAAAAGAAAACAAGGTTTTTATATTGAAAATTTTCATTATTCTGAAATAACAAGGGCGAGCTTGCGCTTTGTACGCATCAGAAAAAGTCAAGGAAACATAGTAACCTTGAACCAAATGTGCCACGCGGGCAGCATCTCATCGATTTCACAGTTAGTCGGACTGCAAAGCTTCCAGTTTTTTTTAAAGCCATAAGGTGTCAACTTTCTTAAACTTTTTTTTTTATTTATCTCTAGAAAATAGTGAAAATGTAGAGGCAATGACATTTACTTGGAGAATATATGCTATAATGTATTGTCTGTAATTAATTGAGAGAAATATATGTAACAATTGTTTATAACTAAAAATATAATTTTCCCATTTTTACACAACAGTGGAA